GCAGAACTCAAACCCTGTTTTTTTTTTTTTTTTTTAAACCAAAACCCAGTACCATAAACAGGTTTGAAAAGTGAAAGCAAAACCATTTTTTTGTTGAAAAACTGAGCGGTGGGGGTGGGGACTGTACAGGAAATGTCTATGAAAACAAAGCAAACCCAACGGTTTTTAAAGTTTCCCACCAAAACTTGGCATTTTTTGTGTAAAACATATTATGGCCTTAATTAGTGTGTTCATTTATCTGCCTTTTGCCCTGACAGACAATACACAGATGTAAAATCCCAGGGCATCAAAAAAGATAACAGTTCATAAAATGGAAATAGGAATCAGGGTCCATAAATTCAACAGACGTCAAAGTGATTTCAGAAAGAAGTGCTCTTTTGGGAAGGGAACATGACCTAAAAACAAACGCCAATTGGAATTATTACTGTGGATGGGAGAATAATGTACATTTGAATTCTGTAGCTGCCATGTAGTCTCAGGGAGTCTAGGAAACGGAGAATAACTCTTGAAGCCATTGCCAAATTCTCTTTTGATTGCAGGTTGGTGTGGATCCTCCATGTTTTTCATGTGCATAGGGTTCTTTTGAATAAAAGCCAACCAAATGTTAGACAAACACCATATCTGATCAGATCAGTGGTTCAAACAGTCCAGTATCCCGTCTCTGACAGTTCAACCTGGTGCTTCAGAAGAAGGAGTAGATGTTTCATAAGAAACAGTTATGCAATAATATGGTAATAGGGGGCATTTCTTCCTGGCCACAAGCAATTATTGGTTGGCTTAGTGCCTGAAGCATGAGGGTTTATATCCTTTATACATTTGTATAATATCTAATGAAACTGCATGATGATGTTGGTCTAATATCTAATTCTGTTCAAATATCTGATCCTCCAGAACTTTTTCCCCATCTTGTAGCAGTGAGTTCAACAGATTAGTTATACATTACAGTAAAAAGCGTTTAATTGTAGCTGAAGATTTTTTTTTCACCTTCTAATTTTCTTGGGTGAAGTTTTCTTCCCCTCCCTCTTGTGTGTGGCTGGGTACATAATTTCCAGAGTGACGGGGAACAGTAAATACTGTAGGTGGAAGCTCAAGCTTTGATCACATCTGATAGGAAGAGGGGGGTTGAATTTTTAGAGACACTGTAAGATACTCCAAGGATGATATGGGCCTGACCCAGCCATCTGCTGTCTACACTATGGGGACTGACATAAACCCATAGCTTAGCTTACTGCTTGTGATGGAAGTGGTTTTTCCCCGAGTGATGGTAGCTAGCTTGGTGGAAGAATGTAGCTCCATCTACACCGAGGGGTAGGTCAGCATAACTAGTGATTTGGACATCATAATGGTGCTTTGGGGGTGTGGGTTTTTCACACTCCTGAACATGGTAGCTGAGGTGACCTACATTTTAGGTGTAGCCCAGGCCTAGAAGCGGCACGCTGAAGGGATATCTACACTTCACACCACGGGCAGTGGAAGGTAGAGTGTGTAGCTACGCACCACAGTGAAAAGCGGGCTACATGTGTCAGTGAAAGGCTATGGCAGCGACGAAAGGCTCTGGCAGTGGGGAACTGCTGGAGCTTTTCCCCACTGCCTCTACACCGACAGAGCCTTTCCCTATGGTGGGGAAAGGCTCTGGCAGTGGGACACTACGCTGCTAAAAATAGCGGTGTAGACCGGGGAGCCCTGCTTGGGTGTGTAGAGAGCCGTGTCAGACACGTACCTGGGTACATACCCTAAGGTTCTGGCACTTGCCTAAGCTGTCTACACTGCTGTTTATACCTGTGCCGGGGGACTGTACTCTACACAGCGCCATTAGGAGTGTGCAGTATAGGCTTGCTGCCTTATGAATCCAGATCCTGTCCCTGAAGGGGTGGCCTTGGGTAAAGAATGTTCCCTTTGGTTGGGAAAGAAGAAAAGGGCAGAGTAGATGAGAAACAGCATTTCCATGACCTCCACTGTCCTGAGGAGAAGGCTCAGAGTGCTGATTGGCTCCTCCTGAGGGGCTGTCACTTGTTTCCATTGTATTCTACTAAAATAGCCGCTCTTCAACAACATATTTTTCAGTCCTTCCCCCATTCCCCCCTCCCCCCCCCCGGTCTTTTCTTCAGACAAGCTGGGGCCTGCAAAAGGCCAGCATTAATCAGCATTCCAGAGCCTGAGCACTAAAGCTCTCCTGGTAACAGCGTTCCAAGGGCGGCTTAACAGAACCAGGGATTGCCTCCGCCAGAAAGGCTGACTGTGAGGATTTGGAGCACTTGTAAGCAGTTTAATATAAAGTCTCCAATAATGGTACCCAGCCAGGCAGGATACCATGGCGACGAGGGCCACAGAAATACCTAGAGGTCATGGTAATCCCAGCTCCTGAGGCTGCTCAGAGAGCAGTGGGCTGGAAGGATGCTAGATCCTACGAGCATCTACACTTCCCCCTGCATCTCTGGGGAGATTGGTGAATTTGTGTCTGTTCTACGATGACACCAGCTGAGCTGCGAGGCTAGCAGGAGCCTGTGCTGAAAACTAGCTTCACTGCACTGTGCTCGTTTTCCCCTTCCCACCTACCTGAACCTTTTCCAGCCAGCAGGGTCTGGCTGCTCAGGGATTTGAGGGGGTAAGTCTGTTCTCAGCTCTGCCGCTGAGTCACGGCGTGACCTTGGGAAGTTGCTTAGCCTCACTGTGCCTCAGTTTCTCATCTGTCAAATGTCATCAGTAATTGTTTGTCAGACACTTGGAGGTCTTTGCCTGAAAGATGCCAAATATGGGCAGAGTATACCATCTGCAGGGGAGTCCTATAGGACATGAACTCAGGCCTGACTGCTTTGAGCGCCAGTATGTGCAAACTTCTCAGCTATAGATAGTAAAAAAGAGGTAGCTATTCTACCTCGCTGCCGCCTGCCAGGAGAACGACACACCTGCAGTAAAGCATGTTGTTTGAAGAAGCTCCCCCTTGACAATGTCTTCTCAAAGTGCCACTGTGTGGTCTCCTTTCCCTTTTTTGGGACGCAAGAGGGCAGACACCTCACTGGTGTGTTATAGCTCTGTGAACCTCTGGGAGGCTTCTCGCTCCATAAAAGCGCATCACGCTGGGACAACAAGGGCTTTTGCAAAGAGAAGACCAGATGTTGAGTCAAAGGGAGTTAAACACACTGAGTAGACACTGCCCAGTTGGACCCAGTCTCTGTTATGTTCTCCACCTGCAACCTGCATATGAAAATGTTAAGATCCTGCTTTTTCCTCTGGGGGAAAATATAGTAGCCAATCTCTGAAAATGGAAAAATGTTCTAAAGTGTCATTTTTAGTTTGAATATGGGGGCAGTGCTGCCTGCCCATACTAGCCTGAGAGTGCTGGTCCCCTTGCCCCCAGTCCGGCTGCCGTGACAGCGGGGACACCTGCTAAGTAATCGTCTCACTGGTCAGCTGTGAACGTTCCTGCTAAACTTGGCACGACAGCTGCCCCCAGCTCCAGCAGATGTTTCTAATTTTTAGCCCAATGGAAACTTTATGAATCACTTCAACTCCTTCCCAGAGAGGAAACCTCTTGTGATTCATCCCCCTCTGGGACCACCACGGGGTTCCAAGCGGAGATTATCTGACTGACTGGCCGGCCAAGCTCCCTTGGCCCTGTCATTTTATTTTGCCTCAAGGGGATCATACAGTGTGGATTCAGGGTGTCATAAAGATTGAACTAGACACAATCCACCCCGCTCCCACTCCCACTCCTTGTCACCTTAACTCCCCTTAATGGGTCTCTCTGTGTTTATGAAGGGAGACTTCCTTAGAATGGAATGAGTGACTCAGTGGAGATGAACTGTGCTGTTCCAGTGCATGATCTAAGCCTCTGCTTCACAAGAGACATGAAGTCATTATGAACCTGTGGCTTGGTTGCTGGCCCCACAGAGCTGTAAAGGTCTCTTAGATGTCCCTGCCGCTAGCTGAGCCGTAATAATAGCAGGAAGGACCAGAATGCTCCTTGTTCTCACAGAGTCATACTGGAGGGGGATTCACAGGGAAAGTTACTGTAGAACGTGAGCTTGTGTTTGTTAAACACATTCCATTCGCTAGCCCCAAACGTTCTGCCACACTCCTCTTTGAAAGGCCTTGGTACTAGATAGTCCAGTTCATGTAACAAGGCTGGTATTGGAGTAGAAAACTCAGAGAATTTAACGTTAGTGGCGTGAAACCAGGGCAGCTTCTGTAGGGCTGTATAGAAACCTGTAAAAGCTGTATTGAGGCAGGGACAGAATGAGGTCGCTGTTAAAATTGATCATGTTTTAAGCCAAGCAGGAATAATGCAGTGGGCGCAGGTTGCCCCGTTGAGTTGCAGCTTCGGTGCCACAAGTACTCCTTTTCTTTTTAGGTTTGATCAGGTACAGCTACACTGGTATTGTTGGAACACCGACAAGCTCAGAGTACGTCTTTAGTGTTGTGCCATCTCCTAAAGAAACAGAAGGGTGTTAGCAACCCTTCCAAGGAGCTGCTACATTCTGGCTAGTCATATTCGTTCTTGCATTGACACCCTGTTAAGGATGAGATGTGAAAACAAGAGTGATTGTTATAAACAGGCAAAATGGTTGATCAGATCTCTAGTGCACAATTAGCGCCCGTCAGCTGTTCATCAGGGAAGGAAATGGACTCCAAGGGCCCTGCCTCAGGGAACAGGATATAAGAGAAAAGGTGAGAAAGGACGAATAAAAAACATCTAAGGAACCAGACCCAGTGTCTTACCTTGGCAAGCAGAATTCTCACAGCATGACATATGCAAGCCATACTCTGTCACCAGGGGATTGAAGCAAAGAAACAACAATGGCTCTTACTCTTCCATTTTGCTTCCAAAGTATGCTTGAGCCTCAAGACTTGTAATTTGGTGGGAAAGCAGAATGGCTGCCTCTGCAAGCACAGCCTGGTCTCCTCTGGGGCTGTGTCAGAGCTCAGGGCAGGAACAGATGAAATCTTACCCGGTATCCCCCTAAGTAAGGCTAACGTGTTGCCTTCTTTTCTTCCTGTAGACGTTGTTTCACCCCAACAGTGGAGCAGCTGGAAAGGACGGAGAGATAAAAGCGCTACGGCTGGCTCAATACAAGGCATTTTACACTACAGGTATAGTCTGTTTGAATTTAGGAAAAGCCCCTCCTCCAAAGGCCTACGTGCCCTTAGGGAGAGATTTAAAAATCCAGGCAGATTGGTACAAACAAGCACAAATCCAGGAGCCTCCTGCAAACCAGAAAATGAATCAAATTCTTGCCCCAGCCACGGATACCTCCCCTGCAGGCTTCGCGGCCCAGAGTTGGTGACCTTCAGGGCAGCTTCAGACCAAGGGGAGTGTGAATTCCAAAGCTGAGGATGCCTCCCAGAGAACGTGCTGACAGCAGCTTCCTCTCAGCCCCAGATTCAGCAAGTCACCTAGGCCCGTGGCTTCAGCGGGGCAAGCCAGGTGCTTAAAGGTAGCATGTGCTGCAGTGCTTTTTTGAGTCATGACCTGGAACGAGGGCTTTAGCCACAGCACCTCTGATGGTCACAACGACTACTAGTGGTGACCTCTGGAAACAAAGGTGGGGAAGCAGACACCCAGAGCACGTCAACAGAAGTTACAGAGGAAGGATCCTGATGTGAGAGGACAGCAAGAGGAATGACATGCTCCTCTGCAGCCCTCTGGAAATGCTTAGAGTCCATTAACCCTATGATTAGGGATGATTAAAATGGTTCCCTCACACACAATTCCACTGCTTCTGTTCATAGCATTTGGCTTGTTCTAAGGCATCTCCAATGCAGTATGTAGCCCCTACAGAGCAGGTGCCTTCCCTGCCAGGGTCTCTGCTTACCAGCAGCACTGGACCTGCTCATGCTTCATCTCATTTCCTTTATTTTTAACCTTCAGTTCATTTAGCCTTCTTGTGGCTATTCTTGTGTCCCTGTGTTGTCCTTTGCCTCTCTATTCCCTTTTAGAGCAGCCCACAAAACGCCTTGCTATCCTTCCCTTGCCTGTAGAGCTTGCAAAAGCTATAATTTCATAACTGGGTCAAACTTGGGTCAGCCCATGCAAACCAATGCACAACCTTGCTGGAGGGTTTCAACCACAGCTGCAATCTCCCTTGCAGTACACGATTTCTGAGCTATAATTACTGAAGGCTGTCATGCTAGTACTGTTTGCCAGAGATCACAGGAAGCCCTAGGACTGTCACTTCATATAATTTAGCTCCCTAGCCTCTCTCTGGTACGATTCCTAAAGAGCAGGCAGTGACTTTTACAAATGTTTCCAATACAGCACCACTGCCCAGTAGATGTTGCTGGGCAGGACTTTCCCTAGCCTATCACTGGAATAATCCATGTAGAACTCAAAGCTTTTCAGTCTGCTGCTAGGTTGTTAAGCCATGTCCAGCAATGTGGTAGCAACTGTAGGTATAAGAGCTTAGACCTACACTAGAAACTCACTGATCTCCTTTGCTTTTGAGTAACTCATTTGCCACAGATATAAATCTGCTAGCCTAGGACCCTGGCACCTCTTGGTAACAGCAGTACCTGCTGCATGTGTTCAGGCTGTTTCGTCTGCTGGAAACTAATGACACTGCAGCAGGGATGGCTGCCAGGGGACTTGAGAGTTTTTCTCTGGGTTTCCATTCCAGGCGGGGCGAAAGCCTGTGACGGAAGCATTGGGCTGGAAGAGCATCACCAGCCACCGCTCATTTTTAATCTGGATCACGACATTCAGGAGCAGGTGCCTCTGGACATGAAGGCTGGCGAGTATCAGGCTGTGCTACCTGCGATAACCAGGGCTTTGACAGACTTTCTTCACGATATTGCATCAGACAACGTCTCAACAGCTGATTACGCCCATGATCCAGCAGTGACGCCCTGCTGCAATCCACAGCACATAGTTTGCCGATGTCAGGCTTGCTGCTCTAGCCCTGCCATGGTAGACTATAACAGGGAGCCGTAATCAACAGTTTCACACTGACTTGGCTGTCAGGTCAGTCTGTGCTGTTCTAACTGTGCTGTATGCAAATAAATCTGATGCTGTCTAAACCAGCTCGAAGAGCTAGCGTATCAGGGCGTAGTTGCAGCTGGCATGGTTCTCTTTGCACAGCGTTTAGAATAGCGTGGCCACGTTGCAATCCCTTTGAGACACTGTGGGTGGAGTGTTCTGGAAAGCTCACCTTCTCTGCTCCTGCATGAAGAGGGGACAAAGAGCAGGTAGATCTAGATCAGTGGTTCTCAACCTATTTACCGTTGTGGGCTATGTCACATCAGCTGCAGCTCTGTGCTGAATGGGCTGCAAGCAGCCCACAGGTTGAGAACCCCTGCTCTAGATTGTGGTTGGGGAGGAAGAAGGAGGCATGTGCTTCATGGGCTCGCTTGGTGACGGAGGCGGTTCTTGGGTCAAAGCCCTTGTCTATTGCATTAGCCCCTGCCTGTACCTTGGAGGAGAATTGCTGCAAAAGATGAACCTGCATGTCAGTTGCCCTTCTGTGATCTGAAACTGGCCTTGAAGGGGACTTGGGGGGACATGACAAGAGAGGATGAGCACAGATCGGGAGGGATGGGGCCCAGGAGGCAGTGGATTAAACCTTTGTACATATGGCCATGGCCTATCTAGAGGCCCTGAGATCTGTTGGCTCAGAGGGCCAGACACCCCCTGCTATTCTTGGGGAGATGAGGGCTCATCTTTACTCCCTCTGGCAGCACAAGATGGTCACTCCAGTCTCCAGGTGGGTTTTTTCCTCTAGGGTTAAACCAGTATGGGATTTACATGAAGCTGAGATGAAGACAGTGACCCAGCTCTGTACCCTAGGGACAGGGGAATTGCACGGATAACTGACCTCCTCCTTGAGACTTAGCTGACAAGTAGTAAGGCCAACCTCCACCCTCTTCCTCCCAGGATTTCTTATCCATATTTACAAAAGGCTCCTGCTTAGAATAATGTCCTGTACTTCCAGGGCAACTTGCACCTCTGAGGATCTCACAGCACTTTGCCAAGATGGGCAAGTGTTAGCTCAGCCTGCTGTCCCTGCCCTGTTGTAAGGGCTTTTGGGGATGGCCTAGAGAGGAGGTGTGAAAGGGGCAGAGCCAGAGTGTGATGCCCTCCTGCAATCTTGACCATTAAAGGAGCTCCTTGGGAGCTGTTAACCATTGGCACAAGGCAGCCCAGCCCAGAGACCAACCTGGTGCCTGGCAGTTCCCTGAATGGTTATCGGAAGCCTAAATGCCCCTCCTTTCCCAGACTGCTCTGGCACATCTGGGAATCTGGGCCATTATCTCCATGTTACTAATGGGGAATCCCAGGCAAAAGTTAAGTGAATCCCCCAAGGCTGCAGCAGGTCAGTGTCACAGCAGCAAACAGGGACCACAGGTCCCACATCCTGGACAATGCTCCTGAAGCCAGAAGGGGTTGGGCAGGGTAAGTTAGTTCAGGTTCAGCAGCAGCAGCTGTCTTGAGCCTCAATTCCCATCTCTGACAATGATGCCCTTCACTCCAAAAATAGTATTGTTTGAAACAAACCAGTCAGCATGCAGCTGAAGGCAATGGGTTGTGATTCATGAACAGTCAAAACCAAAACTAGGAGCAGTTCCACTAATAAACCTGAATCAAGATAGACATCCGTAGGGACCCCCAGAGAACAGCAAGAACTCTCACACTGAGCAGCCACTGACATATGATGATTTTATTACTAGTCTTCTGGTAGAGCTCAAACATAATAAATTGGGGGATTTCCCCCTAATATCACTGCAAAAATACTCTGCATGGATAAAATATTATGTATATACTGTACAAAGACATCATTTAATAGACTTTATACACAGAAAACAGCATAAATTAGAAAAGGGAAAACCATGTATATAAAATTCAGGTTACATACAAATCTGGTCTGGTTAGCATTTACAATGTGGTTTTAATGTCTCCTTTGTTAAATATAGCACTGTGCATGCAGTACGTTTATACCACACCCATATACGTCAAACACAGGGCCAGAAGGGTGAGGTAACCACTTGAACATACTGTCGTAAAGCAATGCAGCACCTCTGGTTATTCGCCCTGTTGTAGGCGCCCACAAATCTGTTCTTCCACACTGCTGGGTTTTTCCAAACCACCTCCCAGCGCCTGTCCCGAATCCGGAGGTTGGCTTCTCATCATGACCTCTTCACTTTGCCCGGGTGACCTCCACGGCACAAGATTATCTACCAAAATCAAAACAGAACTGCCTTACTTTTCCCAGTGAGCGGTCGTTAAGCAGGGTGCATCGCAGAAGGCTTTGCACACGTACAGGGGAGAAGACACCATGCAGTGTTTTACTTTCTGGTCAATGGGTGTTGTGTGGGTCAGTTAGTTTTTGCCCTACATGTATAGGTTGGTGATAATGTGTGTCCCTTATCCAGCTGCCTTTGCATCCAGAACACAGATTAAAAACAGACAAAGCATGCAGACATACTGAATCACTATGTGTCAGCTATTAACTCCGGTAACAGAATCCGGCAGCCTCCTCAGGACACAGGCAGGAAATATACAATGGCAAGGACTTTTTAATAGCTACTTCATACCAGCACTGCACACAAGCCCCAAGAAGGTACCAAAGATCTCTTGGCAAGAACTGCACCTTCTTATGGAAAAGCCTGGGGCAGGGCTGTGCTCACCCACCCTCTACCCCCAGAAGGGTTCCTCTGCTTTACGGAGACTCCACACAGCAGCTAATGTGTTCTTGGTGTCAGCGCACAGATGCCTGCTGGGGTAGATCATCCCACAGCTCCTACTGAAATGACCTCCATCTTGGGCTCCGTTGCAGAGACACTGAACACTCTTTCAAGCCTGGTCCGATGGGGAAAAAATAAGGGATTTTACTCTTGATGAGCTTGCAAGGAACCACTAGCTGTGCTTTATGGTCCTTCGGCCACACAAATGTCCTAATTTTGTGTCTAATGATGCTGAAGCTGAGAGAGGCAGAGCTGGATTCTACATCACAAAGAGGATCAAGCTAACATAGCTGTGTCTGGGCCTATTCCTGCAGGTCTTACTCAGGCAAAAACTCCTTTTTAAGTCAGTGAGTCAGGAGTTGCTAGAAGGAGCAAAAGGCTAGCCATACTTCCACAGAAGCTTTGCACCAAGGAGGAGCATTATTAACAGACGGTTCCACAGAGGCACTTTTGCTCTTTGTTACTGTAGGTGGCAACTATAAAGAAATGTAGCCAAAAGTTCCAAATGTCTACGTAGCAGAGTGAGGCCTGGTCTACACGGGGGGAGGGGTGGTCACGCAGGAATACTGGGGTGTGTATTGCAATGGGCAAACATTCATCAGTAATCCAAATTGCAGCAAACAGGTGGTAAATGGATATGGCCCATTGTAGGGATCTGTTTTTTCATTGCTATCGACAATGCGAGTCGCTGAGCATGCACACAGGAGCTGTATGCTCACAGTGGCAGCAGTGTCCTTCAGCTGCCCGCCCTTTTGTACTGGCCACTCAAGTGCCATTAAATCTGGAGGTAACAGAACAAGAGGTCCTGAGCATGGAAGCCATTTTAAAGGCTCCTTTTGCATTTTGGTCCCAAGCCCTTGGTTCTATCAAATAACGGATCGCTCTGCAATCTCTAGCTGAAGTTCAGAAAACACCTCTAATGAAATTCCCTCTTGCTATCAGGCTCCATCTTAACATTCCTGATACGAGATTCTTTGGTTCTCAGCACATGTAGAAGAATCCAACAGAAATGTAACCACGCATTATACCCCTGCATTAGAGCTCTATAGGCGGGCTTTACATTCTGCACAGATCCTCTTTCCTATTACATTCTACGGGTCTTTGCAGAAATTTGTACAGCACGTATATTTCATTTCTATTGAAGCTGCTCTGTTGGTTTCATCCTTCTTGCTCATAAATGCTTGCTCAATCCTATAGGACTCTTCCATAAAACCTCATGACCACGCTACCTCTTTAGAGCTCTCAGAAAAACACCTTGTGATCATGGTGTCCTGAAGAAGCTGCAATGAATTCTGAAAGGCTACTTTGGCTATGTGGCCAAAATCACATCAGCATTAAACTTGGGCGTAAAGTGCCTACATCAACAATTACTTAGGCTCCTGGCAAGCTCTTTTGGAATACTGACTGCCGTAAGTCAGATCCCTAGCATAGGTAAGCAGAAGTCAAGTTCCAGCTGTGTGTGGCCAGAACCACATGAACATTTAAAGCTGGACCTGTACATCGAATAAATAACGTGGGTTCATTCCTCCCTTCCCACAAGGATTTCTGGTCCTCTCAGCAAGTCAGCATTCTGCAGGGATCAAGTATTGACTTCAGTGCTTTCCTCTCGAGACAATCAATCTTAGGGTACTATGCTGCCAGCCGTTACTGTCGCATCTGAGCACTTTCCTCATAAAATCAATAGCAAAGTCCTTAAGTGGACTTCACAGAATCAAGTCCACTCCTATCATTGAAAGTGAAATAGGTGATTAACCTCATTCTCCAAGTCACTACCAGTTTCAGTAGCACCTAACAGCATGGGTATCATCCAAACAACTTCTAGTCAGATTTTAAATTCACATAGGTCCTCGGGCTTTTTATCTCCTCCTCTCACTGAGATCTGGCCTGGCCCTTCCCTTGTTAAATTAAGTGGCACCTTTGTATTGCCAGCAACAGGCTCTGGATTAGGCCCAAGCTATGGCACCTTTAATACTAACGATGTAGTCACGTTAAGCAGTGACTGAAGTAAGTCAGTAGAAGGAAGAGTATTTAAAAACCCGAGGAGCTACAGGAAACGGTATGCTGCTCCTTCCACAAAACTGTGTCCAAATACAAAGCGTAACAAGTCGAGCTGGCTGGGGGAGGACAATTCCATTTTCCATTCTCAAGGTTTCAGAATTTGTTTTTGTTCCAAAACCTTTCAAACATTTTAAAGAAACAGAATTGGGTTGAAACGTCTGTTTTCGGATTGGCAAGGTCAGGCTTCGATTCTGATCTCTAGTCAAAAGTGACCAGAGTGTCCACCCTGGACCCCAGATACCTTTCTGTTGAAAACCTCATAGAAATCAATACATCTCCACACA